GTCCCGCCCTGCCTCGCCGACGCGCAGCGCGCAGTGTGTTTGCAAACCGCCCCGCCTGGAGTGGAAGCTACCCGCCGCCACCACCCCTCCCCCGGGGGGTCCGGGGACCCTAATTACAATGCCAAACAGAACGACTCTACTCGACTCGAAGCGCGAGGCCCGCGATCCCCTTTTCTACGCTCCTCTCCTCGAGCGCGCAGCGGCGGGCGAGGCGAGCGCCCGGGGCTTAGGCAACCCATCGTGCGCCGAGGTGAAACCACGCGCAGTTTCCCGTCTCACAAGTTCTAATTTTTCTTAACCACATTCTCCAATTCATAGAAGTGGTGTGGTACACACTATTTGAACCGATTTGAACTCGATTTGAATGCAAGTTACGAACCGGAACGGCAATGATGTCCGATGTCCGCGAACATATCGAAAGAAGGGAAAATGTAGAAACTACAGTATACTAACAAAAATACAGAGAAAGCAAAGGTATAGTCACTTCCACGCGATATGCCAGGCAGAAAGGCTGGTTCGCCCGGGATCCGATCCGAATGACTTTATGAAGACCACGCGCCGACGAGACACGATCCGGACCGAACTACTTCCGAATGAATGGAACCCGACCCTCGGCATTGGGAGGGAAAGGCCTGGAGCAAAGGAAGCTGTCGTTAAATTTTATGTTATTATTTCTTCCGCAGCTCCGTCACAGGCAGTAGAGGGTCATCAATGAATCGGTCGGGGCCTCCGGCTCGCGAGGACACGGCAGGGAACGCTCTTCCGCCGAGTATCCAGCCCCTCTAGTCCCACACGCGCCGCTCTCTGGCCACCCCCGCGCTCCTCGTGTTTCGTGTCGCACTGTGCGGCCGAGGCCGCGGAGTGGAGTCGGCGGGGGCGTGGAGCGGGGACATCTTCAGCCCGGCGACGCCACAGTAGAGGGCGAAATTGGTGAAATTTTTGTTGGGTGACGTACTGTGGGCGTCATTAAGGGCCAGTCTTGCGGCGGGACCCGGCGGGACGCGCCCCATCCCATCCACCGCGCCACAACCAATACCGAGTTGTGAAAGTCGCCCCGCCTCGCCGCTAGCCGTCTATCTATATGTCGCAGAAAACTTTTCTCTTTGTGATAATCTCCCAATCTCTCCCCCTACACGCAGCGCGTGCAATACTTTTGTGGGCATCACTGCCTAACTGCCTCTGAAGTCGCATCAGCAGCAGCAGCTCTTGTTAGAGTCCTATAGGAGGACCCTACTCTCGTGT